ACAGTACACTGAAATTAAAATATATTCCTTCTATTTTAAAGCACAACAAAGGCTAAAAGAAATATGCGTCGTTCAACAATAACCATAATAACTGCCACAGAAATTACACGAACGGGATATTTCTACAAAGACACATATTCAGATCGATCGATCGATCTTTGCGTACTACGGGACGCATAAGATAAAATATTTTGCGTGTTTAGGGATTTTTATACGTCAGGGACGCAGGACGCAGAGGTAACAAAATCACTGGTTTTGCAAGCCTACTTTATGCATGGTCCATGAAGACAATTACAATATTAATTTTTATAACCGGTTTTCGACGGTTTTCGCAATCTTCATGAAATTTTAGGGAGTTTTAAAATATTTTGAAAAGTCAAAATTTGCATGTGGACTTTCTCTTCTCTAAAGCAGATACTCTTTTTCCCTCATCAAAATTTGAATATTTCTTTGACTGTGCACGGCACGAGGTACGTTATTATATTTTGTCTAATTCATTGAATGCCTCGTTTGTTTGCAGAACTTCGCTCGCAGTTACAGAAATTTTCTGTGATGTTAGTTCACCTTCCACCGCTGGTTGTTCAGATCATAATCACAGACCAACTGGCTGAATTAGAGAAAGACAGAAAAACACTGGAAAATGACCATCAGCTCAGAGTACAAGAATTAGAGAAAAGAAAGGTATTTAAAAGTATTAGTATCAAGTATTAAAATAATTGTTATACACACTTACACACCAGGCAGTATCGAGTGTTTTTAGGCTCGATATTAACGAACTACCAGTTTATTCAATGGCTCAGCACCTCCAAGAGTTGGGATTGGCCAAGGAATATGGAACCAAACAACAACAAAAAAAACCTAGCCCTATTTTATCGCAGTCGTTAAAAAGTAATTTACGATCTGTTTTCTACATGTAATTAGAAGTACAGTTTTTTAAACCAAGTTTTGTGACGGACCAAGTATGTGTTATAAGGAGTAAACGCAGTTTGCATCCCATGCATGCAGTATGCTATACTGCATCAGGGTTACCCAGCTTATGAATAAAGGCCATCCATTTGTCTATTTCTTAGGATAAATGCCGCCTTTCGAATTAGCGAATCAAGTGACAAGGCTTTGTAACATTTTGTTTCCTTTTCACTTTTTGTTTTCTTCTTTCTATTTTTTTAGAATCATCATCAATCTCAGCTGCGCCCTTCTCTGGGCCATCCTCACAACCGAACAGAGATGGACACACTTTGCGCCAGTGAAGAAAGACGGAGACAAGAGGCACTGGATGGAGCTAAACAACACGCGGAAGCGCTAGCGGTGCGTTACCAAAATAGGATGTTTCTGACTGGCTCCAATCCCCCGGATAATTCTTAATAACCAACTGACGCTCACCATATTTACAAGACTGGGCAAGCAATATACCATCGATTCGATGGTATATTTGATTAGAAACGAGGTTGATCGATGGTACATTTGATTGGAAACGAGGCTTCTTGAGCAATAGTGAACTAAATTTACGGCTATCCGTAGACGAAATAGCTCAATTATTTTTCTGACTTAAATTATGGGGGAAAAATACACGAATAGTGAAAACATGTTGCTCGATGGATGTTAATAAATTATATCATACTTTTTGAGGAGTACCTGCAAGATAAAACATCTGGTTACATCCTGAAACAGTGCCGATAAATAGGCTAAAAGTTTGAAAGTCTACGAGGAGGTGAGGCCTTCAGCCTCGGAGGATAACACCCTCCTCGATCTGCATAATTCTTCGCATCCTACTCAGCCTCATACAACAATTGCTAATTAACTTTTCGTTATTATCATCATGTGGACAACAGTTAGATGATCAATAATGAAGTCTGAGACATTATACCACACATCAAGATTTAGATTCTTCTTGGATATGAATTAAAAACTTACCTGCCAGAGCTAAGGAGATTGTTTGTGTCCCCTATCTGTTGTTTCGTTAGCCACTTAAACAACTCGCCAGTGAGAGCTTTGTGGCGCGTTAACAAAAGAACAATATTTTACTCCCCTAGGATTGGCCAGCTACACCAAAATGGCGGTACTTTAATTGTTCACTCCCCTTAACTTCGATATGAGTGCGCGCGTAAATTAATGGTCTGCTTTCAGCAACATGTGTTACTGTACATCATGATTTAAGACTGTTGCTTGCTTAATTTTCACTTTAAAGTGTTTTCAGCCTTACTCTCAGGCGCCTGTTCTACGAAACTCGAATTTGACGCGTTATTGTTGGCTTTGCTTTTTAGAAACTAGAAGCTCAGGTTGCAAGTTCGTTTATCGAGAAGCTGGCTCAGACATGTGAGACTATGTTACTTCAGTTTGACGCAGTCCTTTCCTTAGATGATGTTGAAGTCGGAAGTAAGTGATTTCACTTCAGTTTTATCTGTTTAGGACAGTTGTATCTCAAACGGCAGGGAAATTGTCAACCTCACAATGGGTTCATCTAGGGAAGGAACCCCTGAGCGGCGTTGTGGGGGGTCATAAGTATGAAATCCGGTCGGCACGGAATTAAGAATGGTGTATGTCTTTTCAGAGTTACAATTGCCAACTTAGTTTGAAAAAAAAAATTAGCGAAGATAGAGGAGGAAAATGATTTTGATTTAGTATCGTAAGTCTCCTGGAGCTTTTGTTAATAAGTTGTTTTTTTAACAATATACATTACATTTTGCTTGCGTAAACTTTGTTGCTTTCTCACCGCAATTAGTCCAGCATCAGGGTGAGGTGCCGGGGGGGGGGGGGGG